AGGTATATATGGCGGTGAGGGATATACGGCTGCACGGTATATAGCGCTGCATGGTATATACGGGTGTCCAACCCTCAACGCGAAGGGAAAGGCTCCCAAATCAGGGATGCCTGGTCCTTGGCGCGATCGCTAGAGTGGTGAGTCTAAAATGCCCCCACAGATGGAGATTGCGCAGCCGTCTGGGCAACTTGTACCACCATGTACTCATCCGCCTGGTAAAACAATGTTTCCTCGCACCTATCAGAATCCCCGGTGATGGACTGTGTCGTTTGCCTCTTCATGGCGCGCTTGCAAGAAGAGCCTGCCCTGTTTGCAGCCATCACGGAGTCGGGTCTTGCCCTCGATCCTCCCTGCCCAATAATCCCGGCTCCCCCAGCCTGGGCTCCAGCCACCCCCGTCCTGGTGTCAACAGCCTCCTTGTCCTGGGAGGCCGAAGCTCGACACCTCCCTGCGAGGGGGCAGCTGCTCTCGGGGGCCACGTTTGCAGGTGGCAATCGGACTGTGCAGGTCGAATGTCAAAAATTGACACTGATCTTTGCAGTACAGTAACGGCACCAGATCCAGAGGTTCCTATGTCCTTCACCCTTGACAAATTCGGCCTTGGAGGAATACGCCAAAACCGGAAGGATTACGCCAAAACTGAGTGCACTTAATGGCATGACTCCCTCTTCTGGCAGGTTTGTACGGCTCTTTCCTGAGGAGTTTGAGCCACAAGAAGCTGGCTGAGAAGCAAAAGGTCCGGTATCACTATTGGCTCCTTCTGCACGGCCAGGATGTTGGCAGAGTGATTCACACTTGGATTCACTTTTTATGTATGTATTTGTTTATTTTTCCCTGAGTTAGAGAATACACCAACACACCCACAGTGATAACAAACTCTTGTTGCTTAGTCAAGTAGATATGTGGAATATGTAGAATGTAGGTATGTAGAATGTAGGCTTCTTGGTCTCATCCCCCCATTTTAGTCTGGCCAAAATGCTTCTTTACACAGTTAGGAGACTGGCCCTGAAAGAGTTGGGCCCCGATCCAGGAAAGTACTTAGGCTCCTCTTGTATTCTAGTAGGATGTTGAGGATTTGCATCTCTATAAATCTTGCAGTTGGCGCTTTCAGATTCTTATAGGGAGCCCTTGAAATTGCTGATGTGCTAATATTTGTGAATCTTCTCAAGTGTATTTCATGCTCTTGCAAAGCAATGTTGGTAATAGATATCAAAATCACTTCTGCAAAGAATTTTGTCATTTCTTTCTGTATATTCTGTACAGAGGCTCGGAGGCCTATTTTAGTGGCTGCCTTTAGAAGTCTGTGCTCACAGTTGTCCTTCATACGAGGTCAGGATAATTTTGGAGTCTTCCCTGGTATTTAATTGACTTCCTGACATGTCTCAATGGGCCTATTTCAGGTAAGCTAATTTCCCCATATCCCCACATTATGCAGTATTTCACCTTTCTGTTGTTTACATAGATGAAATCATGTTTGCCCAAAGAATGTGTTGCATCATGGCATGAAATATTGATCTAATATTTCTTTAAGCACATTGAACTGTCTAATTAGGAGAGCTGTGTGGCTTCTGGAAAGATCCTAAATTGAGGGTCCATCCTATTCTGTACATCCCCTCTGCTTTCCAATCTAATCTAGAAACTCAATAGCTTGTTCAGACATGGGAAATATAATAACATTCTGAGTAATACTAGAAATGAAATGGGGCCTTCCAGGCATCAAAAGAAAGTTTCATCAGAGCACAAAAGCTTCTTACTCTTACACAGCTGTTTTAACCAGCTTGTGGCTACTGTGAATATAGGGCCTTCCTAAATCTTTAGGTTTTCTAATCGTGGTCAGCCCTCAGAATACAGCATAGACTGCCACAAGGTGTTACCATGAAGCTTCTAACTCGCAGGGACATGTTTTACTGTTTGTTTTCACTTCACACACTAGCTACAGATTAATTACTTCTTAGATCACAAATGAGATGCTGCTATCATCATCGTTATTATTAACCATTTCTTAAGTGTCTTTTGAAAGTATCTTAATTCAGTCCAGAAAAATAAAAAGGGGATGATTTTTATTTATAAGCTATTATTAAAATTATTAGATACAAAATGAGGATTAAAGGGTCTGAAAAAAAAAGTGAATTCCAGTTAATCTTACTCAGGCTGTTTCTCCCCAGTTATTCTAATCCACATTCCAAACCATCTTTAGTAGCTGCTGCAGTCCTTTCAGTGCCTGCATTCCTGTGAGAGCTTTATTTCTTTTCGTTGTTGTTTTTCTATTATGTTTTTATATTCTAAAGCCAATTCTGAAATAAATTTCGTATGAGGAAATAAAGTGGAATCAGGTAACAAACACAGAGGAAGAAAAGATTATAACAAGGATTTAATGGTAAAACTGCTGCTAATAAATTAGAAGCTTGCTGTCAAGCTTTCCTAAAAGCTCAGATTGTAGCATCAAATTCCCAGTGCGTCTCCTACCCCTCCAGCATTAAGTGGGTCAGTTCATTACCTACAGCTAAGTGAAGTGGAAATTTGGGTCCCTTCTCTGGAGATTGGAATGTATCTTTTTTTTTTTCGTTTTGTGCCTTTTTTTTAAATGTAGGCATTGTTTTGGGGTGGGGGAAGACTGCCGGTCTCATACGGATCGCAGCGGTTTATTTATAGGTTTATTTATACAGGTGACAGGTTCATTTAGGTTTATTTGGCACCCGGCGGTGCCGCCGCCTCACGGCACCTCAGGCCCGGGGAGAAAGGGCAGGCCGCCCCCGCGCCGCGCGGTCACTCCCAAGGAGCAGCATGAGAGCTGCCCTGCGATTGGGCGCACCTCCCCCTGCTGCGGCCGCTCATTGGCCGGCAGAGAATAGCGCTTCCCCAAGCTCGGCGCCCATTGGCTCGCGCCGGCGTCTGCTCTTGCGCGGTCAGCCTAGCGGCGCGGAGAGCGGGCTCTGGGCTGATGTCACAACCGAAATGCTGTGGAAACAGCCTGGCCGCAATATTGAGGTGTTAACATGTAGTGGCGCTCCTCAATGGTGCGAAATGTCCCCAGCGCTGCCGGGAGGGCAAAACGCAAAGCTTGGATTATCCCTGCCATGGGAGTGTGGGCAGGTGGAGCCTAAGCGGCTTGTTCTGGGCCTGGAGCTGTGGGTCGCTGTGTGCGAAGCTGGGAGAGGTGGCGAAACACCCGGCGGTCGGCCCGGACAAGTGTGGGTCCTGCTCCCCTGCATGGATCCATGGATCCCATATGGATCTCCACGTATGTGTGGCACTGGGGAGAGTTCTTTCAAAATGACACGTGAAGGGTATTTCTCGGAGAAATGAGAAACTCAGAAGGTGCGCGCAGTGATGTCCCTGTGACCTTCAAGTTTAATAAAGCGATTATATCCTGACAGCACTCAATATGTTATCATCTCTATACATTGGCTTGTAAATTTATGCTCTGTGGTTGTACCACTTGCAATCAAGTCCAAGCTATTTTTTCAAAAAATGGTGGCCTTGCAGATACCATTGCGTAAATACCAAGGTTACTTGCGTGATACTCTAGTACCAATTCTTGTCCCAAATTGGCTGTGGCGATTCCACCAAGGCACCCACTCCATTCAGCAGGGGACTAATGTTTTCCCAAGTCTTCCTCTTGCTGTTGATATATTTATAGAAGCCCTTCCTGTTGTTCTTGACATTTCACTAACTCTAATTCCAAATGGGCCTTGGCCTTCCTCGTTGCATCCCTGCATTCTCTGACAATGTTCCTATATTGTTCCCATGTGGCCTGGCCCTTCTTCCACATTACGTATGCTCTCTTTTTCTCATTAAGTTTACCCAACAGCTCCTTGCCCATCCACACAGGTCTCCTGCCCCCTTGCTCGACTTCTTTCTTCTAGGAATGCACCAATCCTGAGCTTGGAGGAAGTGGCACTTGAATATTAGCCAACTCTCCTGGACCCCCTTTCCTTTTAGGACCCTGGCCCAGGGAATTCCTCCAAGGAGCTCCCTGAAGAGGTCAAAGGTAGCTCTCTTGAAATCCAGAGTTCCAATCCTACTTCTTGCCCAGCTTCCTCCTCACAGGATCGTGAATTCCATCATCTCGTGGTCACTGCAGCCGAGGCTGCCCCCAACCTTCACATTTCCCACTAGACCATCTCTGTTTGTTAGTATCAGGTCTAGCAGCGCCCCTCCCCTTGTTGGCTCATCAACCACCTGCATCAAGAACTTATCTGC